ACTTAGTATAAGCTGGAAGCACGGGGTGGGATCAACCAGATCCATCTCCTGAGGTCTTTGGCGCAGAGTGCGCGCCCTCACTCCCTACTAATATAGGGTTGGGCACATCCATACAGGTGCAATGAGGATCATGAAAAATCTAAGAGAGTGACTCAATTAGTTTCATTCTTTTTTTCTCATTGCTCTCCTTGCCTTGTTAATTTAATAGCACCTTCATGAGGAATGGGTAGCTTGTGTATGATTGCTTCGGGGAGTGAATTGCCTCTGCGTGGAGGAATCCTTGCTAACAAGAACCTTTCCTTTTTCTGATTGCTATATCCTCGACCGTATCCAAGCTCCGTGGCTAGTCTGCGCTCTTTGGTTCTTGCCAAGGAGCGTAGCCCGGAGGGTTTTCAGTTTCTTTCCTCTTGACCTTGCTCTTGACAAAGAGCCTACGAGAGATTTGTTCGGTTCGTACTTGTCATTCCCATGAGATAAGTAGGAAACTCTTGCAAGGATCTCAAATGGTCCACTTGCACTCCAATGATATGGATTCCTGACATCTTTCTTTCCTACCTCTTGCATTGCATTACCATAACGAAAAGCAAAATTCATTCAAAAAAGAAAAGAGAGATTGCTATTGCTCTTGTGACTCGGAATGAACCTTTCTCGGTAGAGGAAAGGAATAGCGATGGGGCCTATGAAGCATCCAGGAACAAGCAGATTCAATCTACCGACGAATTCTTGCGTGGTCTCCAAGGAAAGAAAAGGAAAAGGTCCGCTTCCACAATTTCATTATATTGAATCTGAATATCAGAATCGCTTATATAGTCATGACGAAACTAAATGGTTCGAATGAAGAGAAACAAAGAATCATCATTTGGAGGCTGTACACCTCATTTTCCTGGGATTGTAGTTCAATTGGTCAGAGCACCGCCCTGTCAAGGCGGAAGCTGCGGGTTCGAGCCCCGTCAGTCCCGACTGATTTCATAAATACATTCTCCTCTCCCTTGACTTGACGGAACCAAACCTAAGCAAGTTGATCACAGCCAAAAGTATGCCACTGGCAAGAGCAAAGGATTTCACACTAACTAAACATCTCCGAGGATCTCTATTCCTGTATCTCGAGAAAGAAAGACAGGCATTGCATAATACTAATGAGTACCCCACATGCCAACTATTTCCATATTCTGGCTGTACTACTTCTACCGTTCAACAGGTCTCTCTTCGTACGCATGGATGTCTAGTCAATAAATCCCCTGACCTGATCTAATAGCTTGTGAGCCTGCTGGTTCCTGCTCTCCTCTGAAAGAGAATATGAAAAGGGTTTTCAGTTTCATTTCATTCACAGATTCTAATTCTTTCTATCTAAGTCAATACGTCAAGGAGGAGTTCGAACATCAACTGGGGGGAATTTCCCTCTGTTTGAAGGAGTCAAATAAGAATCCAATCCACCCATTCCATATTCAAGCGAAGGTTTCGAAGCGTCTTGCCTTCTTGCTGCTGCTTTCAGAGCCAGGAGCAAACGGAAATTTGGAGTCTTATTTGCCACTTTGTCGAATTTAGCAAACCAACGGCTGCTTATGCCTAAAGGTGATGATCAAAACGAAAAGCCGGTGACTGTCTCTGGTTTCTTTCGTTATTCGCGCTTGTTTGAGATCGTGATGAATAGTCCGGACGAGAACCAGGACGTAAGCCTGGATTGGATCTATTTCACATCTGATGACACTCAATTCGTAAAAGTCTCTCTCCTGCAAGAAAGAGCATAGTCCGATTGAGCGATAGTTTGACCTATCAATTATGGATTGATTGCTTTCGACTTGATCGGAATTGAATTCGCTTAAGTAGAGTCATGTTGAATGCTATTTTCAATGAAGTTTTGCTGTTTGAGGAGACTCCTCTTATCTAAAATAGTCTTTTCAGGTTTAGCAGCTATAGCCCACTACACTTTTCAGATTGGATCGGAGTCTGATTAGCGAAAATGTGTGTTCATTTATGGATCGTTAGACGTGAACGTGCAAAGTCATTCCGAGTGAAGGCCCTTACCATCCGTATCCAAAACTCATTTTTCACATCTGCTGTGCTTTCCTCTTCTTATGCACTACTGTGCAAGCACACAAATGGGATATATGGTATTTCTCATGGTTGTTTTTCCGTCTGTTCTAGCTGATTCTTCTCTGCCTTGGTTTCATTCTTTCGATTCCGTGACATCGTAAAGAAAGCTGCAGTCCTTCGAGCCCGCCCCAAGGGTTCGACAACCGAGCTTTTCTGATCATTTCTCTTAAAGCAATAGGAAGCAAACCCTTCTCGTTCCCACGCATGGACATTCCATTGAATTCCCTTTAGTTCAGGAAGAGAGAAACCTCTCGATCGAAAAGCTAGGCTGGATCCCCTAACATAGTCAATTCCTCCATGACAGCTCTGTCTTTTGCAGTTGTTCTTTCTGAGAGAGAGGCTACTTCGCCTGGGAGCCGGTGACGAAGCTTGGAAGAACAGCCACATGGAGCAGGCTTACGACTTTCTGCCAATGCCAAGCTCTGAGATTGACATGACTTTCCCGTCTTCCTCACCTGATACGGAAAGAAGAGTAGGGATATGACTCGGACTGAAGAGACCACATTCTGTTGTTCTGTTTGGTAATCGATATCAACCTTCCTGGGCTAGGTGTACAGGTGAAATTGGAAGAAATGAAAAGACGATGCTATTCAAAGAGAAAGCCTTGAAAAACATCAGATTCACGCAAAGATAGGAAATCCCCCGTAAGATGGCGTGAACTGGCCTTATAAAGGCACGATCATGGGCATAGACAGGGGCGCCGGGTGCGCTTTACTTTGATCGATAGGCGATCGCCGGACTTGATCTTCCCGCAGAAAAGGGATGCTTGCTTCTATTAATTGTTCTCCCTTTCTTCCTAACACTGTTGAAGCTTCAACAAGGTACGATTTTGACTTCGAAAATGAGTTTCTAATACTCCCTGCTCCTTTACTGAAAAACAAGAGCTTGGAAATATCTTCATAGAAGAGAGCTATTATAATTGTCTCATTGGTGGAATCCTCCTGATGTTAGAAATTCACTCTGCATCGGTCTATCTGTAATCCGGATCTGATTCTAACCGTCAACAAGAGAAAATGTGACAAAGAAAACATCTTCCAATGCTACCTGTACCATAACTTAGTTCATTTTCCTACCTTTGATGAAGAAAAGCAGAATCAGTCATATTCTGAAAGAAACAATCAGATTTTAGTCATTTTGCCGCTATATGAGATCGAACTGATGCTGTTTTCTGAACCTCTTCTTAGCGAAAAGTAAGGTTAGGCCAATTTACCGGGGTTTTCGAAAGAATTCTCTTTTTTCTACGAGTCAGGTCAGCGACAAAAGAAAAGGCAGATTATGGTAGGTGATATCAAGTCGAACTTCGACCAAAGTGTTCATGAGTTGTTCCTGTCAGCTTGGAAAGTGTCGGAATGGCGTTAACAAGCCCCTGGCACTCAAAAGTTTCGCTCAGCGAACTCTTTCTTATAGGACTCATTCCCTGGTCTCTTCGATTGAAGCCTTCCTTGGAACTTGTTTCGTAAATCAAATACACTCTGAAAAAGCTCCTATGTTTGTGAGACCTCTTCCCTAACGCACGAATCTCCGGTCCTATGATCTAAAGTAAGCCTACGAGCCAGCCGCTTCTCTGGTCGACCAGCTCGAGGCAGGCGCATTCATTCAAGTGGTCCCGCATTTACCCTTTAACGTCACTTCATGCGAGCGAGGAAATAGATAGAGCAGAATCTTGTAATATCGTCTAGTAAGCATTTCCACTAGTCAAGAATCAAAGCAGCCATGAAAGTAGCCCTTTCCAGTGAAATCAACCAATCGCTTCGGTACTTGCAACATAGGTAGGGCATGGTATTGTTTGTGCTACTGGAAAGCCAAGTAAGAGTCGGAAAGCCAAGCACAGATGAAGCAAGCAGACCGCATCTCTTGTCTTGTGTGAGCGTATGCCTGTTCGGGTCAAGCCGCAGCTCTCGGCCTGGGAGGAGTCAATGGAGGAGCTTATAGCCCTGTTGATCTTCTATCTCCAAGGGCAAAGCTAGCTTCGTTACTGGGAGTCCCGGGAACGGAGGAGATATAGAACGTGTGCAGTGAGGGATCTTTATCGGTAGAAATGGTCAATTTCACTCATTTCACAGCTATAGCCGACTAAACGATTGAGATTTCTTGCTCCTCGTCTTAGCGAAAAAGCAATGGAGGACGAAAACACGGGGTTTCATGAATCAATTCGATTTTCAGATAAAGAGAAGATGCTTCGAACAGGAGTATGAGACGCCCCAATTATCGTATATAGGTATACTCTGACTTTCTAGTCAAAGAGCATTTAGGCAGCGCGTGAATCGAAACGTGAGTCATTGTTTCACCTCATTCGCTCGAAGTCAAAACTCACTTTCCTTCGTGATGGAGTGACGGCCTTGATTCAACTAAGGGACATGAAAAGAGAAACGGATAAACAAGAATGCAATGTATTACGCGTAAGGGGCTCCTCCTTACTATTACTTACTTAATATATTGGTACACTTGTGCAATAAAAGACAGTATTCATCATACGTTAGTCACACATTACTCATTAGTAAGGGGTAAGCTTGCTTTCCTTTAGAGCAATAGTTTCTCAGGCAAGTAGACCAACCAAACATAACTGTCCATTTTTCTCTGTTTTCAAGCCATTTACATGGTTTTATTCTGCCATAACCTCATCTGTATTCCGGAATCATTCGTCCGAGCAGTTTTCACTTTATGAATAAGTTCAGAGGGGATCGACACCCCTCTTACCGTTGACCAATGCTATCCCCCTCTGCCCTCCCGTTCCGTCTTGATCTTCTCTTTCGGTCCACAAGGTCACAAGGGAACTTGAGACAGCAAGCGGATTAGATCGAGCAGATTTAGGAGCAAATGGTCCTGTTTGAGTAGGATTATAAAGTGCAAACTCTAATGAATTGGCAAGCGTGCTCAGACTGATTTTCTTTGTGGATTGTCTCCTTCAATGATGGCTGGCTATGTATAGTTACTTTAAAAACCGGATCTCTTTTAATAGGAATGTTGATCATTTATTCAGTGTCAAGGACATTCGGAATTTCATTTCTGATGACACTTTTTTAGTTAGGGATAATAATGGGGACAGTTATTCCATATATTTTGATATTGAAAATCAGATTTTTGAGATTGACAATGATCATTCTTTTCTAAGTGAACTAGAAAGTTCTTTTTATAGTTATCGGAATAAGGGATCTAAGAGTAACGATCCCTACTATGATCGTTACATGTATGATACTCAATATAGTTGGAATAATCACATTAATAGTTGCATTGACAGTTATCTTCATTCTCAAATCTGTATTGATACTTACATTTTAAGTGATAGTGACAATTACAGTGATAGTGACAGTTACATTTATAGTTCCATTTGTGGTGAAAGTAGAAATAGTAGTAAAAGCGATAGTTCCGGTATAAAAACCAGCATGAATGGTAGTGATTTAACTATAAGAGAAAGTTCTAATGATCTCGATGTAACTCAAAAATACAAGCATTTGTGGGTTCAATGCGAAAATTGTTATGGATTAAATTATAAGAAATTTTTGAAGTCAAAAATGAATATTTGTGAACAATGTGGATATCATTTGAAAATGAGTAGTTCAGATAGAATCGAACTTTCGATTGATCCGGGCACTTGGGATCCTCTGGATGAAGACATGGTCTCTCTGGATCCCATTGAATTTCATTCGGATGAGGAGCCTTATAAAGATCGTATCGATTCTTATCAAATAAAAACAGGGTTAACTGAGGCTGTTCAAACAGGCATCGGCCAACTAAACGGTATTCCCATAGCAATTGGGGTTATGGATTTTCAGTTTATGGGGGGTAGTATGGGATCCGTAGTTGGGGAGAAA